CGTTATACAGATAGCACAACCTTGCTTGTTGTGAGTGAAGAGGACTTAAAACATTTCCTGCAGAAATTTAAAGACTACAGTTTTCAATATGGATTATATCTCAACATCAAGAGAACATAAATCCTCACCTGGGCCAATAGGATTGAAATTGTCAACAATTTTTGTTGTTGTTAACAAATGATCCTTTATTAATATTTTCATCTGTAGTTCTTAGCTGGGCATTCCATAGCAATGCTGCTGATGTCTTCAATGATGTCATGAAGGAGGGAGCCATCAACATTGCAGCCCATAGATTGGTCAGTTCCCAGGATCTCTTTAATAGTTCCAGAGTTCTCTGGCAAAAGATGGTGTCACATCTGCTGGGCAATGCCAACAATCTCATCAAAAGTGTTATTCCTGCTGTGTTTAATATTTTTCTGTGTTTTTCTGTCTGTAGGTGGTTTCTTTAGGGCTTTGATGATCAGGACAGAGGCAGAAGGCACCACTTCAGTCTGAGCTTGTCTATTCTGAATGGTCATTTTCACTCCAATCCTTAGTCCCTTTCAATCAGTGTTGGCCTTGGCAATGTCATCACTGACCTTTTTTGGAGACAGACCCAGAGGGCCAGTCTTGGGGGCTAGACGGACATGGCTCCGACTTCCCCACTGGTACATGACTTTGATCTTGTGGTTGAACTTGGGTGCCATGGTGGAGCTGGCTGGTGTCAGGTTATGTGGGACAACTGAAGAAAGTTGCACTGAGGCCTCCTCCAAGCCGAAAGTCGAAAATTGTTTCATCCTGGACTTATAGTCAACATCCGTGGTATCAGCAGTTGGGAAATCGAAAGAGGTGTCATGCTGAGAAGAACTCTCCAAAGTACTGATAATGGCTTATGTACTTATGATTGTCAGAGATGGCTAATGTGAAGAGTAATGATGTTGATTTAAAGACCAAAGGGCGCCTGATTGAAGCCATGGTCTTGATTGCTTGCCATGCATCTGGAAGGTAGCCAGTGACTATGGATGACAGATGTTTTAAAAACTCTTAAGAGTTGCAGAATGCCTTTGTTTTCTTTTTTTTTTTTTTGTAGTTGATGAGGTTTTGGACTATCATCTAACCTGCCATTTTAGCCAGATGTTGCATAGCATTCTCTTATATTTTAGCCCTCTTTATTACGCTGAGTTTCTTCTGTACACCTGTGACATTTAGAATGAGGCTTGTATTCTAAAAGCTGTTCTCCAGCCACCTGTCCTTTTACCCTGCTACCCCTGCAATATACATCTCTATTACGCATACACATTCTCTGATACATACGTTGCCCAGTATTGCCTCCATTTTATTACAGTATTTTTAATAAGATCTTAGTCAGCCAACGCTAGCTTGTCTTTATACTAGGAAATCCTTTGTGTCTACCTCTTATTTTTTAGTTCATGTTCTTTGGCCTTTGAAATACTTCTTGTATTACAGCTAAAATATCTCTTTTTGAACAAGTTAGGTAGTTTCTTCTATGAAGCTGCAACTGAGATCAGCCTTCTTTGATTTTGTTGAGCACACAATGTTTGTGATTTGTTGCTAAGTAATAGGTTTATCTTTCTTACATATTTTTTAGTTTAATATGGCCATTGTTGCATGGTTGGTAAAATCATTCTGAGTAGGGTTGGAGAAGACAAGGCACAAGAGATGTCCATATGCAAAGAAATATGTACTTTAACTCCCCTGTATCCTAGTATATTCCAACATAGTAGTCTCCAAGTCACTGTTAATTGAGCGCACTTAGAACAGGATCTGGCACTTAGACTCTCAGTAAGTATATGGATGAATCAGGTTCTGAGATGAAGCTCTTTTAGCAGTGACTTTTTCCCCTCAATTTTTAAAAATTTATTTTATTATTTTTGTGTGTGTGTACCATCAAATCATATCTGACTGGTACAGGAGGAGATTGTCCCTCCTTCTCCAGCAGAGCATATGGTGTATTTGAACCGTGTGTCTCTGGGATTGCAGTGCAGCTTCTTGCCACTAGGTCACCAGAGCTCCCTAATGACTTTTTTTTTAAAGCCTCCCCATAACTGTACATGACAGTTACTTACTGAATTTAACTCAGTTCTGTTTTGTTTATCTGGATTTTAACTGAGCTTTTATGTTTTTTTCCTGGGAAGGTAGACAATCTTGGTTTTGCCAGAGGCAGAACTGCTGTTGAATTTAGTGGTTTTAGGCAAAGAAAGGAAGCGTCTTTTGCTGTTGATATCCCTTTTGAAAACATGACTTCCATATCACTAGCTGCTCATTGTCTGTAGCTGTCTTTTTAGTGACTCACAGATGATTTTCAACACTTATCATTAGAGTGTCACTGCATGTCACTTCACATATGGTCACCCAGAGTTTTTTAATAGAGTTCTTGGACAGACTTATTTTGGCAGTGTTTTCTCATTAGTAAATGATTATATTCAAACTAATTATATTATTTATTGTAGATGAAGGAAGTAAACGTATGCAATATAAAAATAAGGCTTAACAAATTTTTAATATGTTGATGCCTTTGTGTTGTGGTGTTGGAGAAGAGTATTGACTGCTAGGAGAACAAAAAAGTTCATCCTAGAGAGGGTGAAACCAAGCTCTGTCTGACATACTTTGGGCATGTTGTAAGGAGGGCGCAGTCCTTGGAAAGGGACAGCATACTTGGAAGGGGTGGAGGGACAGTGTTGGAGTCGAAGACCCTGGGTGAGGTGGATTGACTCATTGGCTAGGGTAATGGGGGTAAGTGTGTCAGAGACAGTAAGATTGGCTCGAGATAGAGCAGAGTTCAGAACTATTGTACATAGGGTTGCTGTTAGTCACAAGCAACTCTATGGCACATAACAAAAACAACAACATAAACATATACTGGCAGTAACTTCAATTTTCAGTACATTTAGTATAAAGTGGCCAACTCACTGAAAGAGCTCCATATTTATACTCATCCAAAAAAAAGGAGAACCGACAGTGTGTGGAAATTACGAAACAATATCCCTATTATCACACACTATCAAAATCCTCCTGAAGGTTATCCAGAAACTACGGTAACAGTACATCGACAGAGAACTACCAGAAATACAAGCTGGGTTTAGAAGAGGTTGTGGCACTTGAGACATTATTGCCAATGTCAGATCTTGGCAGAAAGCAAAGAAGAATACCAGAAGAATGTCTATCTGTGTTTCATTGACTATGCAAAGACATTAGATTGTGTGGATAACAACAAATTGTGGCTAAGCTTGAGGAAAATAGGAATCCAAGAACACTTGATTGTGCTTATGTGAAACGTATACTTGGACCAGGAAGCAGTCCTCAGAAAAGAGTAGGGAAACACTGCATGGCTTCAAATCAGGAAATGAGTGCATTAGGAATGTGTTCTGTCTCCATATCTTTTCAATCTATATGCAGGACACATCATTCAGGAAGCAGGGCTTTATGAGGAGATATGTTGTATCAGGATTGGAGAGAGACTCATCAACCACCTACATTATGCAGATGACACAACCTTGCTTGCTGAAACTAAGTAAGACCTGAAGTGCTCGCTGCAAAAGGTCAAGAACTGTAGTCTTCAATATGGATTGAAGCGCAACATCAAGAAGACAAAGATTCTCACCACTGGGCCAACTGGCAGCACCATGATAGATGGAGAAAAGATTGAGGTTAACAGTTACAGCTTGCTTGATTCCACAATCAACATTCTTAGCACCAGCAGTCAGGAAATCAAAAGATGAATTGCATTGGGAATATCTGTTGTCAGGGACCTCTCCAGAGTGCTGAAAAGCAATGATGGCAGTCTAGAGACTAATGTGTGCCTATTCCACGCCATGATCTTTGTAGTTACTTGCTGTATATCAGAGGGCTAGACAATGAGTAAGAAAGACTGAAGAAAAATCAGTGTCTTCAAGTTGTGGTGCTGGTGAAGGGTCTTTAACATACATGGAGTGTCAAGAAAACAAATAGTTTGGTCTTGAAGAGGGTGAAACCAAGTTTTCTCCTTGGAGGCTAGAATTTTGAAGCTCCATCTCACATACTTTGGGTGCGTGGCCAGGAGAGACTGGTCCTTGGAGAAGGACATCATGCTTGGACGATTGGAGGTACAGCGCAGGAATGAACACTCCAGATGAGATGGATTGATACAGTAACTGGGGCAATGAGGATTGGTGTGTCCGATTTAGTGAGATTGGCTTAGGACAGGGCAGAGTTAGAGCTGCTATACATAGGGTCACTGTGGATCACAGGTGACTTGACAGCACATAACAACAAGAAGCTTTAAATACCACAAAGCCAATAGAAATGATAAAATTTAGAATTGCCCATATTTTATTGAGCCTTAGTTTTAATATCTCTAAGTCTGTTTGGTCTGTTTTTTAAAATGGTTAAGTCCCTATTTTTCTGGCATTTAGAGGTATTTTGATTTATTTGACATTTTGAAGCATTTTTATCTTAGCATTCCCATAACCCTTAACAATTTGCATCTGATAATATGGCTTGAATGTTATATCATGAATTTTGTTCAAGTCTTGTGAAGTCTGTGAAACATTTTGAAAGAGGAATAACCTTAGCAAAGAGTTGGGATTTTCCCCCCCTAAGGTTTCTGTGAACACCTGAACATAACCATGTTTAAGACCAACTTCTTATGCAACTTGGATTTCATTGAAGAAAATCTTAGAAGGTCATTTTAAGGCATAGTGACATGACTAATGAAAGAAAGTCTAGTGACAGTTTTTTGGCAGATTCATAGAAGGTAGAGCAATCTGTTTTTGTTTCTGCTTATCATTTGACATTGCTCAGTAAATAATTTGTTCGTAATGGGAAAAAAGAAGTATCCAGGTATATAACTTATATTTGGAAAGTAAAGGAGAAAATGTCTTTCTGGATTTATGGTTTTTTTAATATTATTTAGTACTGTTGTCCAGCTCTTAGCAAAAACTATGCACTTCTGAATTACACTTAATTAAATGTATGTAAATTGAATTAATTTAAATTAGAGTTTCTCCCCTTTGTCTTTCAGGACTTGAACCAGTAAAAGACTTGATGGCACTTACAAAGATAAATGCCACCACTCCTTGCTTTTTGGTTGGCACTTCTGCTTAGGAGCTGCATATGACACTTCACCTATGATATTTTACCCTTGACTTTGAGTTGCAAGAAGGTCTCTGAAGATTTATATCAAATGACGTCAATGGCCAGCTTGTTTTCTTTTACTAGTCCAGCAGTAAAACGATTATTGGGCTGGAAACAAGGTGATGAGGAAGAGAAATGGGCAGAAAAGGCAGCTGATGCTTTGGTGAAAAAGCTAAAAAAGAAAAAGGGTGCCATGGAGGAACTAGAGAAAGCCTTGAGCAGTCCTGGACAACCAAGCAAATGTGTCACTATTCCTAGGTCTCTGGATGGACGGCTGCAGGTTTCTCACAGGAAAGGTCTACCCCATGTTATATATTGTCGAGTTTGGCGCTGGCCTGATTTGCAGAGTCACCATGAGCTAAAACCATTGGATATATGTGAATTTCCTTTTGGATCTAAGCAAAAAGAAGTTTGTATCAACCCATACCACTATAAGAGAGTGGAGAGTCCAGGTAGGTTTTACATCTATGAAAATAAATCTTAATCTTTCTGATTTACATTTGGTATTTGGTAATAAAATTTTTATTTTCCTTACAATTCGTTCTTACATATATTTTTAACTTGATGTTTTACATGGCTGTGTTCTAATTCCCTTGTGGCTTATTATAATTTGTTGTTTACTCCAAGCGCTTGTACATTTTTTCTTAACTGTTGATGAACTACATCTATCTTACCTAAAATTTAAGCTCCTTGTGGGTGCATGTGTATACACACACACACACACACACACACACACACACACACACACACTTTTGATCCCGTTCCTTTTTTTTTTTTAAGAACTTTGTTCCTATAACTGTCTGCACTCTCTAATACCATATTTTCCCTATTTCTGACAGCATGTTATAATGCCTCTCCTTCTAAAAAGTAAGAAAAGCATTTTTTTCTCTTCATTTCATTCATAAACCCCCTTTCCCATATATACTGCACTGTTTCCTCTGGTCTTTATATTGCATTCTTCATGTATATTCAGATCTTTTATTTCATGGTATGGGTGTGGCACCACTTTGGCTAAAACAGCAAAGAGATGATTTATTGTACATGTTAAATCCAACCACAGCTAAGCACAGACTTAGTCCCGAATTTCATAGGTCCAGGGCAAGGGATCAATCAGGGCTAGTTCTGAATGAGGAAAGTGAGCCTCTCAGATTCATGCAGTTGAAATTCTAGATCCTGAAGGAGCATCCAGTCAAATTTGTACCAGCGTCCACAGCCTGCGGCATTTTCCACTTCTGCCACTGTGATGTCTGTGGGTACACATGCTAACAGTTTCTTGGACCTCCACCTCATCTTTTTTGCACTTCAGTCTACGCATTAGCTTTTTCCTCCCCTTGGCTCTTGGATTGGAGGTATCAAAACAAGATGTAGCTAAAGTTTAGAGAGAGACATGTTTGTTTTTTAAATGCTTTAAACATGTCTCTAGTTAGTCTCTTTCCCCTACTGTGTGACTTACAAGATGACTAGTTAACTACCTTTTTACAGGTGCTAGGGATCTTTCTCAGTCCTCATCTTATTTGAACAGCAGCATTTAATACAGTCATCCCCTTACCTGAATCTTAGGACCAGATGCAGCCTTTACTTTTCTTTCTTAAGACTTGTATTTGAATTAGAAACAAATGCTGTTATCTGTACCTTCAGAAATGTATCTTTATACTGTCATCTCTCCTATGGCTAGCAACACTATCCAAGTATAAGCTGTTATCTTTCCCTTTAAGTACTTTCCTAATTAGTCACTTTGCCTCTCTTCTTCCCATCCCATTTGTTTTCTGTACAACTAATAGTGATCTTTACAGATATATATAGTTAGTTTGTTAAAATACTTCAGAGGCTTCCTGTGGCACTTTGCGTTCTCCAGAGCCCACCTGTAATCTATCCTCTGGTTTACTTTCATACATCTGCTTGCAGGCTTTTCTTCTTGCTCATTTACTACCTAGCTTATTTCTCCTCCCTGATCTTTTTAAATACCCTTATCACAATTTGATTTTTGTGTTCTGTCGTTATTTTTGAGTTATATGACTTGGACAGGGACTTTATTTTGTTTGCCACTGAATACTTACTACTGAAAATAGTAGTATTACCTTCAGAGTGTGAGTGAGCGAGCATGTGTATGTAAATAATGTGTGAATTCTGTAAGCTGTGATAATGAGTATATTAGTTATATATATTATATAATTATATTTTTTATATATATTAGTTATATGTTGTTGCCACTTAATAGCTTACTACAACATACTTTATTTTTAGTTTCTGTGAGTCAAGTGTTCAGGCAGGCTTAGCTGGATCTTTTGCAATGCTGTAATAAAGTATTGTTCAGAGCCCTACTCTCATCTGAGGTTAACTGAGGAAGGATCTTTTTCCAAGCTTGTCTTAGTAGAATTCAGTTCCTTATAGGCTGTTGGATTTCTTTGCTAGCTGTTGACTGCAGGCTTCCTTCTGATGTTTATCACATGGCCATTTTCACAATTGTTCACATTCATAGTAGTGTATTTCTTCAAAACCAGTAGTGAGAGAGTCTTCTCGTAATAAAAGTGTTACTGTCTAATTGAATATAGTAATGTACAACTTGCTATATTTGTAGTAAAGCAAGTCACAGGTCCATTATGCAGGTACATGAACTCTAGGATGTAGAATCGTGGAGAATATTTGGAACATTGGAGTTCATATTTATTATGTCACATAAGACAGACTGTAAGGCCAGTGTGATAAGACTGAAAGTAATATAAAATGTAAAACTATCAAAAAGAGTAGTAGTGATAGTGGTTGGAATATTAGGGAAAGTACCATTTATGAGTTTGAGACTGAAATCTGAAGTGATTCAGTATCTTACACTGTCCAGGGAAAGCTGTAATTGATGAGAAAAGGAAGGTTTGAAGGTTTAATTATTGTTGTGTGCCATTAAATCAGAATTGACTTAAACCTAACCCTCCACTGGGTTTTCAAAGGCAGTAAATTGCACAAAAGGAGATTGCGCATCTTTCTGCCATAGAGCCGCTGAGGGATATGAACTACCTTTAGGTTGGTAGTGCAGCTCCTTATCATTAGGATACCAGGGCTCCCTGTTTAATAGTTAAGTGTGATTTGAAAAACTCCCAAGTGTGACATATATGAGAAAGTCTAAGACTATGCTTTCCCCAGAATCCGAGAATCAACCAGTTGTTCTTATGTGCCATCGAGTCACCTGTGACTCATAGCGACCCTATGTACAACAGCCGTAAAACCTACTCTACCCTGTGTCAGTATCATTGTCTCTGACACATCTACCCCTATTATCCCAGTCACTGAGTCTGCATCTCATTGAGGGTCTTCCTCTTTTGCCCTGTCCCTACACCCTTCCCATCATGATGTCCCTTTCCAAGGACTGGTCCTGCCTTGCAGCATGTCCAGAGTATGTCATACAAAGCTTCAGAATCCTTGCCTCCAAGGAGCAGCCTGGTCTCACCCTTTCCAGGAAACACCTGTTTGTTTTCCTAGCAGTCCATGATATAGTCATTACTCCTCCAGCACCACAGCTCAAAGGCATCAATTCTTCTTCTGTTATCCCTACTCATTGTCCAGATTTCTTATGCATAGCAAATTAACCAATAGAAATAACTTAGTTTTATTATGATCCGTTTTTCTCAGTTGTAATTGATTCTATAGAAGAGACTGAGACGTAACTGATTTTGACTCTGTAATTCCTACATTTAGTTGGTTATCAAGGCCTTGTTAGTTTTACTTAGAGACTAATGACATAATTACCTGTTTCACCTCTTCTGACACCGTCATAATCTACTCCTTAAGTGGGCTATTACTGCTTTAAGAGAAATGAAGTGTTCCTGCAAATTTGTAACTGGACTTAATCAGAACTGACTTAAATATTTAATATTTTATATTTAATACACTTGAGGTTCTTTGAGCTTCAGGACATGTAGGCTTCTATCTTTACTAATTTTGGAAAATTTTCAGCTATTTGTAGTTGTATTTTGTCCCCCCTCCTTCTTCCACTATGTTTGTTACACTTTTTTCAAATACTTATTATAGTGAGAGTTTACAGAGATTTCTTTTCATTCTTTTATTCATGCACATTTTCCTCCCTCCTCCAATTCCCTTTGTAATACTTATCCTTTTCTAGGCTGTTAAATGTCATACATGTTATTTCTAAGCATTCTTGAGGTTGTCCTTCTTTTCACTCATTCCAGTGCAGTGTTCATTCTCTAGCCTTTCTTTTCTTTCTCTACCCTCACCCCCAGTCAGTTAGTGTGCTGTAGAGCCTATTCAACAGACGTGAAATACCCTGTGGTGGGGTAGTGAGAGAGCCTCCTTGTAGAACTCTTAGTTTGGAAATACACAGACATACAGATAAATGATCCTGAATGAGATGTGTTATGATAGAAATGTACATAGTATATGTGAATACAGAGGGGACACATAGTCAATTCCCAATTCTTTGGCTAGTCAGGATCCCTGTAATGTGGTTCCATCCTCTAATCCATTTGTTGTTGATTGAGGTTGAGTCGAGCACGACTCAAAGTGACTGTATGAACAAAAGACCTAATGCCTTTCCATAACTATTGCCATTTCTCCAAGTTCATAGAGTTTCAGGAGATGTGGTTTAGGAAGTGGATGCTGCTCCTGCTTCCAAACATATTTTACAACTGGGAGATTCACCAAATACTGTCCACGTTGGGAAACCATTATGGTATTTGATACCCAGTGGCACAAGGTGTAGCATCACAGAAAACCCAGGTTTCTTCATACAGCATATTGACAAAAAGATTGTTCAAAGTGGAAGAATGTTCCTCCAGTTATAACAACACTATTCTTACTTAGCAGTGGATAAGTGTCAAGTTGAATACAACTCATAGCAACCCTTGCATGAAAGACCTAAACTCGGTTCTGTAACTAACAGTTAGGAAGTGGATGCCTCTCCTGCTTCCCAACCTGAATCAATCTGGACACTCCTCCAAACATTGTACATGATGGGTAACCACTATAGTATTTGGCACGACTATGGCACAGTGTTCAGCATCACAGCAACTAGGGAATGAAAATGAACGATGAACTTAAGAGTTCGGCTTAGACTAGGCACAATGAGGTTTTTTTTGTTTGTTTTTGCTTTTTACAGCATTAAACATACTGGATGGCTTTACATGCTAATGCTGATATAGGCTATCAATATAGTAAATATTTAGCATGAAAACCAGACATGAAACAGTTCACCTTTAAAACTACGGATTCAAGTTAAAATCCTGACTTCATTAGATGGGAAAACATTGCTAGTCTCAAAAAAACAATCTATCCTCTTTAGCGACATCTTGTATATGTGCAGAGATTGACACTCAGATTTACAGAACAGTTTTATTATTTGCCAAGTGCTTTTACAAACATAATTTCCTAAATATGGTGGGCTATTAAATATTGCTGGGGAGGGAGAAAAGGATACAAATTAATAAATAGATAAGTTGGGTGAAGG